TCTGCACTTTTGCCTTTTTGCATTTTATGGACCACAAAATAAAGTGGGAGATACTCTTCAAAGAATTGGTACAGGAGATCACTTCCTGAACATAACACCAGTAGCACAGACACTGAGATCGACAATTAACAAATGGGACCTCCTGAAATTAAGAAGCTTCTATAAGGCAAAGGACACAGTCAACAAGACAAAAAGGCAGCCCACAGAATGGGAAAAGATATTCACTAACTCCATATCTGACAGAGGGCTGATCTCCAAAATTTACAAAGAACTCAAGAAGCTATTCTCCAAAACACCAAAGGATCCAATTAAAAAGTGGGGTACAGAACTAAATAGAGAATTCTCAATAGTGGAGTCTAAAATGGCCGAAAGACACTTGAGAAAATGCTCAACATCCTCAGCCATCAGGGAAATGCAAATCAAAACAACTCTTGAGATACTGTCTTACTCCTGTCAGAATGGCTAAAATCAAAAACACCAATGACAATTTATGCTGGGGAGGATGTGGAAACGGGAACACTTCTCCACTGCTAGTGAGAGTGCCAACTCATACACCCACTTTGGAAATCAGTATGGAGATTCCTCAGGAAAATGGGAATCAATCTACCACAAGACCCAGCAATTCCACTCTTAGACGTATATCCAAAAGATGCAAATTCATACAAGGACATCTGTCCCACTATGTTCATAGCAGCATTATTTGTAATAGCCAGAACCTGGAAGCTACCTAGATGCCCCTCAACTGAAGAGTGGATAGAGAAAATATGGTACATTACACAATGGAGTACTACTCAACAGAAAAAAACAATGGAATCTTGAAATTTGCAGGCAAATGGATGGCACTAGAAGAAACCATCTTGAGTGAGGTAACCAGTCACAAAAAGACAAACCTACTATGTACTCACTCATATATGGATTTTAGACATGGATCAGGATAGTGCCAGTCTTCAATTCCTGACAGAGAGTCTGGGAAACAGGAAAGAACCTAAGAGAGATACGCATGGTACCCCAGAGAAGAGAAATGAGGCAAGATCTCCTGAACAGATTGGGAACACGGCGGGGGAGGGGGGAGCTGGGAAGAAGAGAGGGGGAGAAGAGGAGGAGAGAGTAGGTCATGGGGGAACAGGAAGGTTGAGTTGGGGGTAAAATAGGGGGAGAACAGGATGAGAAATACCATAATAGAGGGAGTCATAGGTTTGAAGAGATATCTGGCACCAGTGAGACCTCCAGTGATCTACAAGGATGACACCAATGGGCAAGCTAAGCAATAGTGGAGAGACTACCCTAAATGCCCATTCCTGATAATGAACTTGACGTTTACCTTATGTGCCATCCTAGAACCTTCATCCAGTGACTGATGAAAGCAGAGGTAAACACCCACAGCTAAACACTGAACTGAACCCCTGGAGCCCAGTGACAGAGAGTGGAGTGATGAGCAAATGGGCAAAGAATGGCTGGCAAAGCCAGCAGGGTACGGCTGATCTAAACAAGGGGGAGCTCTTGGATCCCAGACCAACAGCTGGGAAGCCAGCATGGTTCCTGAGTAAGCTATTTTTTACATGTCTAAGTGGCTTTTTTTTTTACTATGCTCATTACAGTAAGGCTTCTGATTAACTGAAAAAAAATGGGAAAAATAAAAGTTTACCCTGTACAATGTTGGGCCTAAAAAAAGCTCGATGTGAGGCTCAGTCTGGCTAAAGTTTAGCAACCCCTCTCTGTCCTGTAACCTCCACATGGGGGTGACTCAGCCAGACCTGATGTAAGACTGCCCTCTGCCTAGACCTGATGTAAGACTGCCCCCTGCCTAGCTACCTGCCAGCTTGGTATAATATTATTGGCCCTTACTCCTCACCTTACCCCATCCTATGATTCTCATCCCCTACCTCAGCCCTATATAAGTTCCTGCCTGTTGGAATAAATCAAGATCCTGCTTTGACAAGTCTCCCGACTCATGTGTACCCCCTCCCCAACTAGTAGGGGGGAGGGTCTGAGTCGCCAACACTCGCCATCCACTCAGCGCTCCCCCCCAAGAGACTGGCTAGACCAGCTCTTTCCCCACTCTACCTGCCGGAGCTTCCGGCAGTACAAGTTATTGGAAGCAAAGTTATTAAAACAGGCATATCAAAAAACAAATAGAATTTAAGAAGTGTCTCATTTGCCTGTCTTTCCAATTGGAGGCCAAGGAGCAACCTTGTCATTTATCCCACATTGGGTGAAATGTGAGCTGACTACTTCAGCTAATCCATTATAGGGTGTTGGGTGGGCCCCACCAAAAGTTTCATGCTCTGATAAATTATGGTACAGAAACAAATAATTTTAGCATTTATCAATAGTATGGCTTCACTGTTTCCTCACCAGTTTATAATACAGGAAAACACATCCTAATTCTTTGTGAACATTGTAGTTGTTTCATTATCCTCTTTCACTATTTGGGAATTTGCTGGAATTCTTCTGCCTGATGTTTAGACTGCCAGTCCAAGATTGAAGGACTCATGGAGAGCTGATGACCTTGTAACAGATTTGAAGCATTTTCAGATGGGCTCTGAGAGAACAGTGGTTGCAGTGGACATGTGGAGATGTGGTAGATTTTAGGACCATAAGATGACCAAGAAGAGCTGCAGGTGTGGAGTAAAGCTGAGATGGTAGGGAAGCTGTGCATGCTGAGGATGACAGAGCCTGAAACATGGAGCATTCCAAGTCCCTGAGAGCCCAGAATATTATTAAATGTCTCAAATTGCACAGCGTGAAACAGGAAGCTATTAAGTTTTGGTTTCCTTAAATGTGATTATTCGCTATGCTCCTCTTCTTCCCTTTTTGAAAACAGTGGGATGTTACTCGTTTTTTTATTTCTACATAGTATACTGTTAGGAGAGTGTAGACTTTTTAAGTATTGGAAAAATTATTTTTTGGTTTTTTTCAAGACAGGGTTTCTCTGTATTGTTTTGGAGGCTGTCCTGGAACTTGCTTGGTAGACCAGGCTGGCCTCGAACTCACAGAGATCCACCTGCCTCTGCCTCCCAAGTGCTGGGATTGAAGGCGTGCGCCACCAACGGCCGGAAGTATTGGAAATTTTCAGATTGTGGGATTTAAGAAGTTGAATGTGTTCTCCATTATGATTAATATGAGACCTTGGGGAACATGGATGTAGCACCTTGTTTGATAGGGATGTTTCTGATTCTCTGCTAATTTACACATTTTGGAATTTGATGATTAATTTTAACTGTCAACTAGATACAACTTAAAATCACTTGGAAAGTGTTTGAATGAGATATTATGGAGATTAGGTTGACAAGTGTGCACATCTATCTTGATTTTTGGTTGATATAGAATAATGAGCCCACTCTGGGTATCATTATACCATAGGCTGAGCCCTGAGTTGTCTAAGAGTGAAGAAAACAAAAAAAGAAGAAAGAAAATGTGCTTACTCTCCTTTTGAACTTGATTGTGATGTGATTAGACTCTTAAGTTTCTACATATTAATCTTCTACATATTCATCTTCTGCATTATAATGACATATTTGGGAGCTGGAGAGTGTAACACAATAAATAAAAGACTCAGAGACAGATATTGGGGTTAAAGCTTCAAGGTGAAGATCAGAAAAAGCAAAGCAGCTGGCCACTAGCTCTTACCTCTACTTCAGGCTGAAAGGGCTGATCCACAAGCTCTCCAGCAAGCCTCTGACTGCTGCCTCTCCTTGGTGTGGCTGGAGAGAATCCTGAGACTGAATCTACTGAAGACCCTGCTCCTATCTTTTATACCTCTGTAATGATTGGATTAAAGACATGTGATACCAAGTGCTGAAATCATCTTTGTGTGAGCTGTTTTTCTTAGCACTGCATCAATTTTATGTAGTCAGTGTGGCCTGAACTAACAAAGATCTATCTACTTCTTAATCCCGAGTCCTGGGATTAAATGTGTGCCTGGCTCCTATGGCTTGTGACTGACTTTGCTTTCTGAATCCTCAGGCAAACTTTAATAAATCATAAATAATATGTATCCACAGGAGAGTGCTCAGTAGTACTGCTCCTGTTGGGTATCTGGGTTTGCTTCCTGATACCCTTCAGATAGCTCATAACTCTGGGACCTGTAATTCCCGGGCCAGGAGATCTGATGCCTCTTCTGGCCTCCTATGGCACCAGATATGCAAATGGTGAAAAGTCAGATATTTGTGATTCCCGACTGTTAATAAGGTTTTCTTTGTGTATATGCTGTTTTTAAAAAGAATTTAAAATAATTTAGGTATATAAATCTTACCACTGTGTATAACAAATCCAAGTCAGGTATCAGAGGAGACCAGAAGATGGTATCATATCTTCCATGAGTAAAGTCACAGAGTTGTGAGCTGTCTTTTGGGTGCTTGGAATCATAGCTAGGCCCTGTTGTAGTGATATATTATTATGATTTATTAAAGCTTGGCTGAGGATTCAGAGAAGCAAAATCAACCTCAAGCTATAGAGATCAGGTAGTGGTGATACACACCTTTAATTCCAGCAGCCACAAACTAGTAGATGGTGGTATACACCTTTAATCTTAGGACTCAGGATTAAGAGTAGACAGTTCTTTGTGAGTCCAAGGCCACCCAAATCTACACAAGATTGAACCAGTCTAAAAGAGAATTATAGCTCACACCTTTAATCCCAGCATTAGAGGGGTATAAAAGACAGGAGCCAAGGAGTCAGTATCAGGCATTCATTCTCTCACTTGAAGAGAGCTTGTGGAGACAGGATCAGTCCATTCAGTCTGAGGTAGAGATAAGAAGCTAGTGGTCAGCTGCTTTGCTTTTCTGATATTCAGCTTGAAGGTTGACCCCAATATCTGGCACAAAATGTGTTCCATTTTGTAGAATTTGGAAAATTAAAATGTACATCATCCCATTGACACCTATTCAGGTTTTCAATGATCAACTGCTTTGATATGGAAAAGGCTGATTTAGTATTTACACATTTGCTAGAAGACATGGGAGCATGGGTATACCTGTACAAATAAAGACAGACAATGCTCCAGAAAATGAAACAGGTTTTTGTTTATTATAATATAAAAGCATATTAGAGGTATACCACACAATCCTACAGGGCAGGCAGTTATACAAAGATCAAATCAAACTGTAAAGGATATACTAAATAAATAGAGATGATAAAGAAGCACAGAAACAAATTGCATAGTTCTGTATTAACTTTCAATTTTCTGAATGCTAATGAGAAAGGAACAACAGCTGCAGAGAAACATTTGGGAAGATTTATGAAATTTTATTCTGTTGGAAATATGATATACCAATTTCTTCAGATGTCTCAATTGTCCAGTGGTCTCCTGATTCCAGACAAAAATAAAACCCTTCCCCAACCCTAAATTTTTGGGGAGGTTCTCCTTTGGCAAGTTATATCTGATCAAATGAAAAACATTGGCTAGTTTTACAGATTAGTTTAGATTAAATGTCATGCTGCTTGATGAACTATCTCTCTCTAATTAAGAGGTGTCTTGTCCAAATCAAATTTTGATGGTATCCATAGCTTTTCTTCACCTGTGGAAACAAAAGTAAAATGTCTTCCCCAACATCATTTCCTGGTTTCCATTCGGAGGTCAAGACATTTTTAAAGTATATCAGCTGATTTAATTCTGTAGTTTTTTTCTATTATCCAATGTCTCTCAGCAGCTGTTGTTCCTTTCTTATTAGCATTCAGAAAATTCAAGGTTAATTTTGGTTGTGAGCCTAGCCTTTAACGGCTGAGCTATCCCTCCAGCCCAAATTCAAAGTTAATAAAGCGCTATGCAATCTATTTTTTTGGGGGGGTTATCATCCCATTTCCTTTAGAGTTCGATTTTCTCTACAGACATAATGCAAATGGCTCTTTTATAGTCCCAGTCCAATTAAAGATTAAGGCTGATTTTGGAGTTGAAGTGTGGCTCTCTCCTTATCTAAATCCAAGCATGCTTGTTAAAGAAAAATCAAATGTCAGGGATCTCCGCCATAATCCAGCCCTAGCATTATCACATCCTCCTCATAGAGAGGATGTGACTTCAGGCCACACTATAGAAATACCACCTCTTAAGATATGAAGCAAGTTCCGAGAAACAGGCTCACGGCTTATCCGTCAGTTAAAGATTAAGCCTAGTGAAAATTACCAAGTCCTTCAGATGATAGGCTTGACAATAGAGGATCGATTGTGAAAGATAGAATTGAAACCTGCAGTTAGGTTACCAGGCAACACAGGATGGCCTACTCTTCCCACTGACCTTTTTGCCCCACCAGCTTCCTCGCAGCTACAGTCAACACCCCCACTCCCTCCCTTCCTCACTCCCCACCTACGGCCCTATATAAACCCCTTTGAAATGAATAAAGGTTGTTGGCTTGATCAGAATATTGTCTTGCCTCCGTTTCTTTGTACCCCTTGCCTCCCATTTTCTTCTAGGTCTTACATTGACTGTCCCCACAGGACGGGTCAATCAAAAATCTGTCTCATGTCAGGAAAGCCACCTGATATGAAACAGAAGAAAAACAAATATTTAAGAACTATTGTATTGCCACTGAAATGCCTTGAGGGACCTATAGAAAGCCCGTATGCCAAAACCGGTTTATTCGTTTCCTGCCATTGTGGATGTAACTCATTCCCAGAACAATTAAATAACCTAATGCTTATTGAAAGAAAACATATTGTTTAATGGTACATTATTTATGACTTATTAAAGCTTGCCTGAGGATTCAGAAAGCAAAGTCAGCTACAATACTAACTCTCTAACCCTAACTCCAACCCTAAACCCCTAACCCAACCCTAACCATGAGTTACCCTAACCATACCACTGACCCTAACACTAAGTCTAAATCTAATCAAGTTACCCTAACCCTAAACCCAAACCTAATAATCCTAACGCTAAAACCCTAAACTAATCCTAACACCACTAACCCAAACCCCCTAAGCCTAGCACCACTAGCCATAACCTAAGCCTAACCCCCCAACCCTGACCCTAACTCCTAAACCCTAACACTAATCTTAACCCTGAGCCTTTACATGCCAATTACATGAACTCAGGTTCTCATGATTTTGCAACAAGCACTTTATCCACTTTTATCCTAGTTCTACCTGAGTAGAGGTCTCTGGGGGTGCTGCCAGTGATGTGTAGTGTCCGGTCCTGCTGGCTTGTCAGGAGGAATATGAATTAAGGAAAGAAATAGACAAGTGATAAGAGTCAGGAGGGCACCCAGTGAATACTAGGATCAGCCCCAAGTTTATTACTCAAAGCCCTTATATACCCAAATCAAAAGAGGGGAAAGCAAAAGACTTCCCTGCCATGGTAACAAAGAACAAACAAATGTAATCACCTCCTTAACACCCAAAACACCAAGTAACCAAACCCTAAACCAAATATCCTGTTGTTAGGGTAAGACATCCATTAGCTACTTCTAGGCCAGATATCCTGTTGTCAAGGCAAAACACACAATTGCCACACCTTAGGCCAAACATTCTGTTGTTTAACCTTGAAAGACCAATAGTGGGCTTGAACTTTCTGACCTTATGTCAAGATGGAATAGAGCCACTCCTATGGTCCCCGACAGTGTAGATGTGTCATAATTTCCTTCTCACTCTAACTAGGCAGCAACACTATGCCCAGATTTTTAAAAAAAGATGTTTTCTGTGTATTTTGCACAGATTTCCTTAAAAAAGATATCTCTTTATGTGTGTTTTGCTTGAATGTATTTATGTGCCCAGGCCTCTGAAGTCAGAAAAGGGGACTGGATTCCTTTAAAGTGGAGATATATATAGTTGCAAGATTTCCTGTGGGTGCTACAAGCTGAATCCAGGTCCTATGCAAGAGTAGTATGCTGCTATTGCCCACTGAACCATTTCTTCAGCCTCCATGTTGTTTTTTATTATTCTTACTTTTGTGGTTTTCCAGCTTGTTTTCAGTCAGTGTGCCAGCTCACTGACTTATTGTTCAAAGTTTTTCTTCTATTAAATCTACTGGTAGTCTTTATTATGGATCCTTGTATGATAAAGGTGTAAGCGTTTCGGGATGGGTCGGGACAGGATGGAACAGGAGTGGGTCAGATATTCTGGCACTCGGGAGTCACAGAATACTGAGTGTTACACAGGTCAGGTGGAAAGGTATCCTGGAGCTCAGGAGCCAAGGACCACCACAGGTTGCAGTAAATTTAGCAGCTTACAGCCTTGCCTCAGAGAAAGGCTTCCCAGGTGTATCAGCTCCACTCCAGAAGGACAGGGTCTTCCAGCTGGACATGTTTATAGCAGTTTTGCTTGGCAGGAGGTTTCTCAAGTTGCTACAGTTCAGCTCTGCTCCTGGAGAGCAGAGAGCGGAGAGCAGGGAACAGAGTGTAACAAGTGTAACAACTCCACTCTGCCAAGGGAAGGTTTCCCGGGCAAGTGTTACAGCCCTGCTTGCTCTGCTCTGCCCAGGGTCGCCTCTGCTCAGTTGCCACTGCAAAAGATCTTCACCCAAAGCTCATCCAAAGGGGTTTATTGGAAGGCAGCTGGACCAGCCAAGCCGAACATACACAGGGTTTATATAGAGATTCTTGGGGACAGGGAAGTTTTTCCAGGGTAGGGATTGGTCCGGATTTAAGTGCTGAGCTCAGATTGGCTAGAGCTCTGCTCGAGGATTGGTTACTTTTCTGCACAGGATTAAGATCAGATTTGGCTCTGGTTTCAGGGCCAAAGTGTTTCTTTCTTTGGTCCTTTTTAGCCTTTTGGCTCCAATTTTAGAGCTGGGAAGCATTTCTTTCACTGACACTCAGATTCCAGGGACAAAGTGTGTTCCTTTGGCACTGATTTCAGGGTCAGGGTACATTTCTTTGGTTCTGGTTGCAGGGCCAAAGTGTGTTTCTTTGGCTCTGCTCAGGGTGTGTTTCTTTGACTGGCCCCTTTTCCCTACAAAAGGTCTTTCTTTCTTTTCTGCTTCCAATATCCTTTCTTTGGTAATAATTTGATTTAAGACAAAAATCCTTGTTTAATTTTGATTTTTGACACAAAAGCTCATTACGTAGCCACGACTTATGATAAGATAAAAAGTCAGGGGAGGGCTGGGAAAATAAGTGGATAAGAATCAACATAAAGCCATACAGTGGTAATCAACTCCACAAAGTTGCCTTCTGACCGTCACATGAATGTGTGACATGTATCTATCACCACCCCTGACTACATACATGTGAAATAATATGTATTTTTAAAACAGGTCAAGCGGGCGGTGGTGGTGCACGCCTTTAGTCCCAGCACTCGGGAGGCAGAGGCAGGCAGATCTCGGTGAGTTTGAGGCTGGGCTGGACCGACAGCCTCCAAAACAATACAGAGAAACCCTATCTTGTAAAAAGCAAAAACCAAAAAAAAAAAAAAAAAAAGCAAAAACCAAAAAAAAAAAAAAAAAAAACAGGACAAATTAAATCTGGCTGTGAAAAGTTCAACTTGTGAATTCCAAAGCAATGGAGGTTGCCTACACGATCAATAGTTATTCTATATAGAAATTTCAATTGAGAATGTTACCACTGATAAACCACACTAACCAGATGACCTTGAGTTTGACTTTTCCCAGTTTTAAACCTAAAACTCACAGAGATAGTAAGGTTTCTTTCGACAGTCAAATGTTATGTCTTAACCCCTTGTAACCTGGTACATTAAGAACTGCTTGAAGCCGGGCATTGGTGGTGCATGCCTTTAATCCCAGCACTCGGGAGGCAGAGGCAGGTGGATCTCTGTGAGTTCGAGGCCAGCCTAGTCTACAGAGCAAGTTCCAGGACAGCCAGCCTCCAAAACAATACAGAGAAACCCTGCCTCAAAAAACCAAGAACTGCTTGAACCCTTGTCTCTTGTTAACCATGAAGTTATCCTATGATCTCATTTAATAAATACAAAATAGGAGGGGTGGACCAAACAATCATGTTAAAAAGTCACCCAAATCATAAACATGGCTATCATTAAGACACTTGACTTACTTCATACCTAGCTGTCCTGAAATTCTTTTCTGTAGCATAGTCCAGAATCCTAGCATCACTGACAAAAATTCAATGTGAAAGGAGATAATCAGTGAAGTTCCAAAGGCTTGAAAACAACCACAGATCAAAGATTTCAAAGTCAGCTTTTATGAATTACTCACCCATATCTCCACGTAAGGGACTTTGAAAATGTCAGATCTGCTGTGTTCATAGAAGGACATTGTTATTTTAGATCTCCTTACTATCTGCACTCTTTATCATATCTACAACTTTCCTGCTGCATGGAAGGGACCAGCGCTTCCAACACAGAAAAATATGTCCATTATACAGAGTAATTTCACTAGCATTATCAATAAATATGTAGCTTTTCTAAATTTACTGAAGTTTTAATAGATTTTTAAATGGGGTTCAAATACAGACATTTGTACATGTTAGGCATAGGCTTTATTGTGGATCATTCCCCCTAGCTGGAAATATAAAGATTTTTGGTTACTTTTAAATTCCTATCAACATCATCCAGAAAATCCAAATCACAGAGCAGTTTGTTTAGTTGTGTCAGTCCTGAATCTGGAAGTGCTTTTCAATGACTTTATGGATATATTTTTATAATTTCTCTAGAGAGAAATAGATAGAAATTATTTTAAGAATTAAATGGCTGGAGATATAGCTCAGTTGGCAGAGTACTTGTCTAGCATGCATGAGGCACAGAGTTCAATCCCCAGCACTGCATAAAACGAACATGGTTAATGTACTGTGCATTCTTTCTGCCAGCCTGGTCCCTGAGCCACATCAGTCCTAAATGAACACCCAGGACACTATATTAATTATGAAGCTGTTGGCCATTTTCTATGGTTTCTTAATGGCTAGTTCTGACTTAATTATTAACCCATAATTACTAATATATATTTTCATAAGTACTCATCTTTCCAAGAATGCTGGACTTGTGCCCTCTCCTCCCAGGATCACATGGCGACTCTCTACTCTTGACTACATTTCCCAGAATCCTCCTTGACTCCTAGTCTCACCTATCTTGCTTTCCTATTGGCCAACAGTGCTTTATTTATCAATCAATAAGATAACATACACACAAAAGGACTTCCCCCACCAGGTTCACGTGCTAATACTCGTGAGACAGAGGCAGGAAGAATAGGAGGTTGAATATTATCTTTGCCTATAAACCAAGTTTCTAGAACTAATGGTAGTAAGGACCAACCTACTAAACACAAAGGATGAATGAACAGGACCTGAAGCCAAGTGAATATCCTCATGTGTATTTCCCAAGGACCTGAGGTCCCTATGTATTAAGGACTTTTATCTACTGACTTGCAGATGGCCTGTTTCACCCTGGTCCTCCACCACAGTAGAGTCAGCTTCTTATCATACAGCAAAGACCCTCAGCACACAAAATTCATGCTTGCAGATAGGTAAGTCCTGCCCTTAGTCTCTCCAGCGATGTCCACATTGAGCATTGCAGCACTTGTAGAAGGTGGTCATTGGCTCATCTGCAGAACGGGTCTGAAGCTGCATGAAGTAGGCACGGGGATGTTCACATTTTGGACATGGCTCTGACAGAGAGAAAAACAAGTCATTCACATTACACAAATACTGTTAAGTGTGGGCAAACATCTCATCTTCATGCTCATTCCAATTTCCTTGCCAGTGCTGAATTTGCCGATAGAAACATCCTATCCACAGCAATACTAATGGGAATCAGTCTACCACAGGATCCAGCATTTCCACTCTTAAGCATATACCCAAAGGATGCACATATATACTGTTGTTAAAATGTCTAGGTTTACCCAGTAACGAGACACAAGGGGGGGTGAGGGGTAACCAACCCGTGCAGAGCTGAGAGAGAGGAGAGAAAAGTAAGAGAGGAAGACGAGTAAAAAGAGAGGATGAGATGATGAGAGTAAGAGAAGAGTAAGTAAAAGAGCGTAAGTGGGCAGGGGTCAGTCCTTTAAAGGGGTCCTTTGCACCTGCATGGTTCTCACAGAACTCTGTGCTGGCTAGAGTGTTGCCTGAGTGCATCCTGCCAGGTAACAGGGTAGGCCAGCATAATGCCTGAACCTTTCACATACAACAAGGACATCTGTTCAACTATGTTCACAGCAGTACTATTTGTAATAACCAGAACCTGGAAACAATCTAGATGCCCCTCAACTGAAAAATGGATAAAGAAAATGTGGTATATTTACACAATGGAATACTACTCAGTGAAAAAAAAAGAACAATGGAATCTTGAAATTCGACGGCAAATGGATGGAACTAGAAGAAACCATCCTGAATGAGGTTACCCAGTCACAAAAAGACAAACATGGTATGTATTCACTCATATATGGATATTAGATATAGAGCAAAGGATTACCAGCCTACAATCCACACATCCAGAGAAGCTGGGAAATAAGGAGGACCCTAAGAGAGACATACAGTGTTCCCTGGAGAAGGGGAAAGGGACAAGATCTCCTGAGAAAATTGAAAGCATGGGGGAGGGGGCCTAGGAGATAGAGAAAGGGAGAAGAGGAGGGGGGAGGAGGACATGAGGGAGCAGGAAGATTGAGTCACCGGAAGAATAGAGGAGAGCAAGAAAAGAGATACCTTAATAGAGAGAGCCATTATAGGCTTAAAGAGAAATCTAACACTAGGGAAATGCCCAGAAAACTATAAGGATGACCCCAACTAAGCCCAACTAAGAATCTAAACAATAGCCAGGGGTTTGGTGGTGCATGCCTTTAATCCCAGCAAATGGGAGGCAGAGGCAGGTGGATCTCTGTGAGTTCAAAGCTAGCCTGGTCTACAGAGCTAGTTCCAGGATAGGCTCCAAAGCAATACAGAGAAACCCTGTCTCAAAAAAAAAAAAAAATCTAAGTAGAGAGGCTATCTTAAATGCCCTTTCCTTATGAGATTGATGACTACCTTATATGCCATCCTAGAGCCTTTATCCAGTAGCTGATGGAAGCACAAGCAGAGACCCACAGCTAAGCACTGAGCCAAACTCCTGGAATCCAGTTGTAGAGAGGGAGGAGTGATGAGCAAAGGGGTCAAGATCAGGTTGAGAAAACCCTCGAAAATAGCTGACCTGAACAAGGGGGAGCTCATAGTCCCCAAACTGACAGCTGGGAAACCAGCATAGGACAGAACCAGGCCCCCTGAAAGTGGGTGTCAGTTCGGAGGCCTAAGCAATCCGTGGGGCCTCTGGTAGTGGAACAGTATTTATCCCTAGTGTACGAACAGACTTTGGGAGTCCATTCCCCACAAAGGGATACTCTCTCAGCCTAGAAACATGGGGGAGGGCCTAGGCCCTGTCACAAATGATGTGACAGACTTTGATGATCCCCCATGGAAGGCCTTACCCTCCCTGGGGAGCAGAAAGGGAATGGGTCATGGTGTCATGATGGGGGTCATGGGACAATGGGAGGGAGAGGGAACAGGAATTGATATATAAGACAAGATTTTTTCTAATTTAAATTTTAAAAACATCTAGGAAAAGAAGAAACGGAGGCAAGAGGCTTGCTACAAGGCCAGCCTGGGCTACACAGCAAGATTCTATCTCAAAAATAAACAAAAACCTTGAAGGTAGAAAACGGAGTAGAGGCTTTTATTTTATTTTATTTTGAGATAGGGGGTGGGATGGGGAGATAGTGGGTGGGGAATGAGAGGACAGGATGGAGAGGGAACTGGGGTTGGTATGCAAAATAAGATCGGCTTTTTAATTATTTTTAATTTAATAAATATTTTAAATAGTTATTTATTTATTTTATGTCCATTGGCGTTTTGCCTGCACATATGTCTATGTGAGAGTATTGGATCCTGTGGAACTGGACTTAGAGACAGTCGTGAGCTGCCACGTGGGTGCTCAGAACTGAACCAGGGTCCTCGGGAAGAGCAGCTAGCACTCTTATACGCTGATCCATCTCTCCAGCCCCTAATTTAATAAATATTAAAAAAAAAAAGACTAGAGCTAATCATTTTTACAATGTTGGTATTTGAAAATACATACAACAGAATTCTCTTGAGAAGCCTGCACCCACTAAAGCATGAACAACTGTCCTTTTACATATCTCTCTCCTCCTCTCAACAACCATCAATATTTAAGTTTAAATCAACATTGAAACTTTTTTTTGTGATAAAGCCCAAATTTGTTTCAAGAAGAGAATATGTACCAGATTTTTAATTATACTTGTCCATATCTGTCCTGGATAATCTAAATGAAACAACAAAGCAGGTAAAAGGAAAAGGTGATTTTCCTTTCAGTATATTTAATCCTTGAAAAAAATCTGTTTAAAGAAATTTTTAATATGGCCAGGCAATGGTGCACATGCCTTTAAACCTAGCACACGGCAGGCAGACAGGTAGATCTCTGAATTCGAGGCCAGCAGGGTCTACAGAGTGTTCCAGGACACCCAGGGCTACACAGAGAAACCCTGTCTCAAAACACAAAATTAAACAAACAAAAAGGTCTTAATGCCTTGCTTAGAGTTTAAAGAATGACTATAGTATGACTACAACATCAAAATATTTCCTATATTGGCAAACACAAGTTATTTGTCATTACTTTACTGTTTATATTTTCTTAAATTCTTTTATACCTACTGGGGGGGAGGGGTTGGAAAACAACTTTTCATGAATCAGTTGTCTCCTTATACTATCTGGGCTCCAAGGATCAAATTCATGTTAACAGGTTTGGCAACAAGTGCTTTCACCTGCTGAGCCATCTTACTGGTCCTAACAATATACAGGGTAGCATTATAATAAATAATAATACAATTATTAAGTATAATAATAAGTAATAATAAATAGGGTTGAGTCACTGGATCTGCAATGGGTAAATTCTCACCTGCAGTGGAGTCCACATTCTCCCAGGCAGCTGCTCCACCTAGTACATCATCCACTTCTTTCAGCTTTGGATACTTTCGGTTTGTTACCTAACAAAAACAAGCCACCAGATTTCAAGTAATTATATAGTTTTAAGAGTGGGTCACCAGCCGGGCGGTGGTGGCGCACGCCTTTAATCCCAGCACTCGGGAGGCAGAGGCAGGCGGATCTCTGTGAGTTCGAGGCCAGGCTGGACCGATACCCTCCAAAACAATACAGAGAAACCCTGTCTCATAAAAAAAACAAACAAACAAAAAAAGAGTGGGTCACCAAACCATAACTTCCCTCCAGCAATTCCTCTACTCAGTAGGTAGATACAAAGTTTATCTTCTTCAAAGATCGGCAAGAGCCATTAAAATGTAGGGGTTTTGTGAGTTTCAATGTCAGAGACCCCTAGAAACTGGAGGAAACACCAGACAGTGCAGGAAGAAAAGACAGCTGAGTTAAGCCCTGCTCTTCTCTCACACCCCTAAGACACCTAATAATCCAAAATGAAAGGCAGACAAAAGCCTAATAGCACCATTTATCTGGGTATCCCAGCATTCCCCAGAACACATTTTTGTTTCTTTAGTCATCCTTCAAATTTCAAAAATTATGTCACCATTCAATCTTATCACATATCCAGACTCCAAACTCCTACCATATACCTCTAAAGTGCAAACATTAAAAATTGAGGTGTCACCAAGGCCTGGTGATGCACATCTGAAATCACAGAACTCAGGACACCGAAGTAAGGAGGAACAAGAAATGAAAGGTAGGCATAACACCAAGAGCTGAAAAAGCAGCTCTCTGGGTTCCAACACAACCACCATACACACACAAAGCAGCAACAATGACACATATTAGAAGACAATGAATCCTGGGAAAAAGAAAAGGAATGAGAATAAACTGGAAGAGCTGGGTTTTGGTTTCTTTGTTTACTTAATTTTCATATGTGTGCGTGTGTGTCTATGTATGCTATTCAGCACAGGTGAGCCTTGAACTTAATCTCCTGCCGCAGCCTCTCCAAGTGATGGAATTATAGGCATGTACCAACAGTCAAAAGGGCTGGAATTTAAATATGGTAGTCATTATTTTAAAAGAGGAGAGGGAGAGAGGTAAGGAAAAGGAAGAGAGAAACAGATATACATAGTCATACGCAGAGAGACAGAGACAGAGAGAGAGCGAGTCAGAGAGAAAGAGACAGAGACAGAGAGAGACAGAGACAGAGAACGCCAAATGGGTCGTTCGGAAAAAAAGACTCGGCGAAAGGAACGTGAAGGACCTAACAGTACTGCGCGTAAGGTCCTCCAGAATAGCAATAGGGTCTAGAAGCAAGAAAAGCTACAAAAAGAACATTAAGATTTGAGATCAGAGAAGGTGATAATCCGACGGGAGCCCAAGCGGGGATTGTAGGTTTTAAAGGCGTGGTTCAGCCTAGAGATAAAACGAAAATTCTTGCAACCTTTTTGAGTGTCACAAAACCGGCAGCAGAGAGCCAGAGGTCGAAATCTCTGGAGTGACCAAAAGAGTGGCTTCGATTTGGCCGGAGCGAAGCCGCTGGATTACCAACTGCTGAACTTAAGGTACCTCCGTAGCTAGAGCAAAAAAACTACCGCCCGCGTGGACAGCGGAGGAGATACTCGCCTCTAGAACTCACCTTGCGTGTGATATTATGCACGTAGGGGCAAGTGTTGCAGGCGAAGCGATGGCAACGCTGTCCCTCCTCCACAATCAGTCCGTTTCCGCAGCTCGGACAGAAAAGCAACATTGCTGCAGCTTCAACGTGTTGGTTCTTACAAACTAAAGCTTCCCCGGCCGCAGGCGCCCAATCGAAGCGGACATTGACACGTTCCCAGAAGGAACTGCGGCGAGCAGCTCTCACATCCCATTGGTCAACGCAGAGAGTCCTTCCCCAACCCGCCAATAGCGCACTGTTTGCCCTCCCAGCTTTCCGTATGGCGCCTGCGCGTGCGCACGGCTCTCCCTGCCTGAAACACAAGCTAAAAAGGCAGGATAGACAGGGCTGGCAGCTGGCAGGCCTGAAGTACCCGGGACTAAGGGTTGGAGGGAGGTACCGGGTGATGAGAAGACATTACTGCACTCCGAGCTGTGGGCGTGTTCCAGGAGGGTCTCGAAACAGTGGTGCAGGACCGGCTGCTTTGCAATCTTCTGAGCCGGGACCGACAGGCAGTGACTAACCCTAATGTCCCAGGGACTTTAGTTCAGTCCCTAGTGTTGATACTACCTCTCAGCTGTTGTCTGCCTAAAGTATGGATACCCGTCTATCTGTACTTACCATCCCTCCAATCTGACCATTTCTTCACCTGGTCCCAGTTCTGCCGTTTCTCTTATACAGCTAGATTCAACTCTACAGACCAACTCTGAGATACAATACCAGCAGCTCCTCTCCACAGACCTCCGTCTGTTTTTTTTTTTTAAATCTCATTCCTATAAACTCCTTTACATTTCCCAGCCCTGCCTTCTCCCTCTTTTAAATGACTTACCTCCTTAATCCTCTGCAAGCATTCTATAACTACACGGGGAGTGGGTGGGGTGAGTCCTGTGGGGTTTTTTGTTTTTGTTTTGTTTTTTTTGTTACCTTTAACAAGTTAGTTAACTGGGAAGAGGAATACCAATTGGGAAAATATCTATCAGATTAACAAGTAGGTAACTCAATGGGGCATTTTCTTGAATGCAAGTTGATAGAAGAGGACCCAGCTGATTGTGGGCGGTGCCACCACTAAGCCGATGGTCATGCCTGAATCTGGAAAGCACTACGATGGGGCTGAATGGTTCAGCTTAAGAGCACTTGTTCTTGGCCTTCTCCTGAAATCATATTGGTGATTGCCCTAATTATCATCAGAGAGTATTCATCCAGTAACTGATGGAAGCAGATGCAGAGATCCACAGTCAAGCACTGGGCCAAGCTCCGGGAGTTCAGTTGGAAGGAGAGGAGGGATTGTACCAGTAAGAGGGGTCAAGATCATAACGGGGGAACCCACAGAGACAGCTAACCTGAGATTGTGGGAGCTCATTGACTCTAGACCGACTGCTAGGAAGCCTGCATGGGACTGACTTAGGCCCTCTGTATGTGGATAACAGTTGTTTAGCTTGGCCTGTTTGTGAAGCCCCCCCTAGCAGTGGGACCACGATTTGTCCCTGGTGCATGAGCTGGCCTTTTGGAACCTGTTCCCGATGCTGGCATGCCTCTCCCAGCCTTGTTGCTGGGAGAGGAGCTTGGTCCTGCCTCAACTTGATATGTCATGCTTTGTTGACTCCCATGGGAAGCTCTCCCCTTTCTGAATGAAGGAGTGTGGATGGGAGGTAGGAGCAGGAAGAGAGGAGGTAGGGGAACTGTGGTTAGTATGCATTGGCTTCAATAAACAATGGATTGTGATCCGTAAGCCACACAAACCTTCTCCAAGTTGTTTTTGTTCATGTTTTATCACAGCAATAGAAACCTAACCAAGATATATTTACTGTGTCTTATAATGTATGATTTGAGAATTAATAAGTTCTTAAAAATAAGAAAAAACTTCGTATCAGCCAAGATTACCAAGGAAAGCAGGAATATTGTGCAGATGCTTTCAATGAAACTGCTATATCTTGTGAATTTACTGTTATTAAATAAATGCTGACATTGTAAAGACATAAATGTTTGTCAGTGTTTCTGATATGGCACAATCATGGCAATTAGGTATGTATGAAATACATTGTTAGTCTTAAATATATACAATAAATGTCAAATTTTTACAACTAATTTATTAATTTTTTGAGGTTTTATTTTTATCTTGCCTGCATGTATATCTGTGTACCTTGTGCACACTGAATACAGAGGCCAGACAAGGGCATCAGATATCCTGGAAATGGAGTAACAAACAGTTGTGAAGTACCATGCAGATGCTGGAAATGGAACCCAGGTCCTCTAAATATAGAAGTAGACAGTGCTCTTATTTTGTTATTTTTACTATTTATTATTTTAATAAAGATTAATCTAAATGTTAAAATTTGCATATTTAAAGTAGGGCCTCTGTGCCTACTCCTAACATTATCCTCTGATTGCCTTCCATTTTCATGCATGTTGGAGCTGGGAAACAATGATTCACCAGATACAGCTGCATATGTTCTCTCAACAGCCCAATGGTAAGCTCTAAGTCACATTCTCTAGGACACAAAAAGAGTGTCTCTCAGATTCTTTGACAGATTAGAAACTGACATAGGCATAATGGATTTCCATAAAGACAGAGTGTGGAGCTGTCATCAACTTCAAGTTCCACCATCCAGCTTCCAACCTTACTTATAAAGAACTAAATGGATGGTGGAGATTCAGACATAGTGATAGACTGGGCAGCATCAGGTGAGATCTACCCTGCAGGTACTGGAGGTCAGTGCTTAGCATCTGCACAAGTATCCTGGTCCTTTTGTGTTCCTACTTACATCCAAGTATTTGCAAGTGGAGCTTCCAGCTAAGGTCTATACTGTTTTTTGTTTTGTTTTGTTTTTCGAGACAGGGTTTCTCTGTATTGTTTTGGAGGCTATCCTGGAACTTGTTCTGTAGACCAGGCTAGCCTCAAACTCACAGAGATTCGCCTACCTCTGCCTCCTGAGTGCTGGGATTAAAGGCGTGTGCCACCAACGCCCGGCTAAGGTCTCTACTGTTACCTGTAGAGACCGAGACTGCTTCTTTGAGGGATTCCTGATGGGATGATGAATTTGGGGGCTCTGCATGTGGAAAACTGTAGGCCATGATGTGAGTTCATAGTGGGATAACTAGCTTGTTCCCAGTAATAGCTTGGAAATCAAATACTAGTTGTGGTTCAACTTGACAGTGAGGACAGGGTCCAGAACAAGCTGGACCCCTCCCTCTAGTGATATCACTTCTGTTCTTTATGTTACTAGGAACTGAGATGCTAGAAACTCAGTTCAGACCCATCATTATCTCATGCAAGGATTCTTGACAGAAAATAGAAGTGTGAAAACAGGGTTGAGAAAAAAATCTCTTTGGATGAGTGGACAGACATCAGCCTGCTAAGATGCTTTAAGAGAATCACCACATGGATGATAAGATTTTCTTTGAATCAAGTGAAAGTAACAAGAATCCACATAAAAAGACAAATTAATCATTAAAATTGTTATAAATATTATGGAGTGGTTAGTGTCATCTTGATTTCCCCATCAGTCTGGAAATTTTAAAGGTTCTTAATATTGTTTCTTGTCAATTAAGTGAAAACAAGCTTTCACAGAGTCTTAGGATTATGTATTGTTTTGAAAGTAATCTGATGGGTGACAGATTTTGATGACCAACTTGAGATAACATACTCTTGCACACGATATTCTACCTTTGGGGTGGCATCTGATAAACTCACTTCTACATATGTTGGATATGCCAACAATAGAGTATTTTGGGGACGGAAAAAGTGACATTTGAAAAATATACAAACTGCAATCTCACTGGCCAGACTGAAATTTTAACAAGATGTAAATGTAATCAGGAGTCCCATATTCAACACAAAAGCAATGCTGAGAATAAAATATCTTAACTATTTTTTTATTGATTCATTTGAGTTCCCCATGTGTTCCATCTCATTGAAAAAAAATCAGTTTCTAATTTCTTGGATTTTTGATGGCCAATCTATTTTTATGTATATCTTTGATTCTTACATTAAAACAGAAGTCACATGTTTTAAAATACCCACTCCTTAAGACATAAGCAGTTTTCAGTGTTGTTTACAATATAGATCCTGAAGACATCTGACTATATTAAGATTTACTAGTCTGAACACAGAATGTGGTACATTATACTGAATTCTGGAAACAAAGTATGCTTACTCACAAGAAAATTCCAATTTCCCCTTGGTTTTACAAAGACCAATCTATTTCTCACATGTTATAACTATATTTAACTGAATTATGGCTTAAAAATCACAAAGTCATAACACATAAATACAAAATGCTAAGAAAAGTTTAACATATAAAGGAAAAATGTCTTATGCATTGTAATTTTTAAAAATCCAGCATAAAGGCAAATGTGGCTTTTCAAAAATGCAGCCTATGTTCAATCACAAGAAAAAAATTCAGTCAAGCCACCTAATATACAGACTTCACAAATTTATTTAAATTTATGTCCAAAATTTTCCAGGTAACATAAAAGTCTACCTAACAATCAGAGTTAACATCAACAAAGATCTGCAAACTACAAATATTTGCAAGTCAAATTATAGCATGCATTTCTCTCTGGAAAAAAAGAAGCCCGACTTGGAGTTAAAAGGCAGGTAAAAACAACTATGAACTTTCTTTAAATAGCTTATATTTAAAGTAATGTAAGTGTACATTATATTTATAATGTAGGGCAATATATGCTTTGCCAGCTATACATGCAGACTATACTGTGTGGTAAAATGATTCAACTAATTTTAAAAAGACAAAGAAAAAAGAAAAGATCCAAAATGTCCGTTTAAACTAGAGAAATCACAGACCAAACCTCTCCCTGCAAGTCATGTGAGGCTAACCTGAAAATAAATCATAAAATTTCAGTACTTAATCCTAAATTAACTCTCTAATTTGAGTTTATTATTAACAATTTACACTATTCTTTTCTTTGGGTTAAAAAAATGTTTAAGAGCCAGCTTTTGGAATCAGCAATGTAACTTCAAGTCCCGCCCTCTGACAGCCAGAAAGGTTGCTTTAAAAAAAACTGATAGTTCTCAACACCAACGGCCTGGAGATAATAAATTTCACAAGTCACTGAGTTAAATTGCTCTAATGCAATGGAGCTAGTAAAATACATACATCTGTTCTTAAGAAAATTTACAAAACTAACAATTTTTCTCCAGAATTACAAAAGATAAAAATCTATGAATTGGTACTC